GACCAAACGTCCCGCAAGGCTGACCAGTCCGAGCACCAGTGAGAATGACGTACGGACAGCGAGCAGTACTCCGTGACCCTCCACGCTGAGCGTACCATTCACGAAGCTGCTGGGGCGAAAGGCCCGCGCGCGGACGACGATGCAGCTGCACCTGGCCACTAAAAGCAGCTCCCGATCTACTCACTCCAGAACGACTCCCACTACGGCCTCCCCGACAACCCCAAGTAGCGTACCACTCACGAAGCTGCTGGGGCGTGAGGGACTCACGCGGACATCGCTGGAGCTGCATCTGGCCACCGCCAGGAGCAGCAGGAGCAGTGGTAGCCGCAGTGGCAGCAGTAGCAGCAGTAGAAGCAGTAGCAGTAGTAGCAGTGCGGCCACCCCTACAACCCCAACTAGCATACCACTCACGAAGCTGATGGGGGGCGAGGGACTCACGCGGACGGCGCTGAAGCTGCATATGGCCACGCCAGGAGCAGCAGTAGCACTAGAAAGAGCAGTAGCAGCAAGAGCAGCAGTAACAGCAGTAACAGCAGTGCTCACCAGTGGAAAGAAGGGCAGGAGTACGACACCGGCAATGGTGAGGCCGCTACCACCGCAGGGCTAGGGCTCCACGGCTGCTGAAGGGGCTGCTGCTCCAGGGGCCAGGGGCGGCTGCAGCAGCTGCGGCTGCTCCAAGGGCCAGGGTGCCGCGGCGGGCAGGGGCGGCGGCGGCTGACACGGCAGCGGCGGCGGTGGCTGCTGTTGTCGGCGGCGGCGGCGGCGGCTGCTGCTGTCGGCGGCGGCGGCTGCTGCTGTCGGCGGCGGCGGTTGCTCCGGCCGGGGCAGGGGCGGCGGCGGCTGACACGGCAGCGGCGGCGGCGGCTGCTGTTGTCGGCGACGGCGGCGGCTGCTGCTGTCGGCGGCGGCGGCGGCTGCTGCTGTCGACGGCGGGGGGCTGCTGCTGTCGGCGGCGGCGGGGCGGCAGGGCCGTGAAGGGGCCGCGAGGGCGGGGGGGGCGCTAAGGGCGGCGAAGGGGCCGATAAGGGGCCGCGAGGGGCCACGAAGGGGGCCATGAGGGGCCACAAGGGTGCGGCGACGGGGCCGAGAAGGGGCCGCGAGGGGCCGCAAGGGGCCGCGAGGGGCCGCGAGTGAGCCGCGTGGGAGCGGCTAAGGGGCCCCGAGGGGCCGTAAGAGGGCGCGACGGGCCGCTAAGGGCAGGGGACGTGACGGGAGGGCAGGCATACGGGGCGCGACTCGGACAGGGGCGAAGCGCGCTCCGGGCAGGAAAGAAAAAAAAAAACCGATTTTCGGTGGGCCCTAGGAAACGTTCCCACTAGGGAACCTGCTCTATACCATGTGAAAGAACGAGGAATGAAATGCACTAGGAAACAGGTGGGTACAAGTAGGAAAACCTAAAAGTGTTGTACCCCATATTATCTACCCCACTACAGCCTACACAGACTATAGCATATAAGTTTGACAAAACGGGCCGCGCTGGCGGCTGGCGGGCTGCTCGTGCTAAAAACGTGGGGCCGCGCTCGGGCGGCTAGCGGGCTGCAAACGGGCAGCGTGAGAGGGAGAACGCGCGAGGGCGCACTAGCAGAGAGGCGCACGAGGGTGCTAAGACGGTGGGGGCGCACGAGGGCGCCTCTAGCGGAACGGTGGGCCCTTAGATAAGCGGTCCTAGGTTCCTAACCTAGGCTCGTAATACCATGTCAGAAAGAAGGAGTGAGTTGCACTAGGAAAGTGGCGGTACAAGTAGGAAACCCTAAACTTACTGTACCCCATAGTGACTACCCCACTACAGCCTAAACAAATTGTTGAGTATAAGTTTGACAGGGCGTGTTCCCGAAGGTTCGTTTTATCCCCTAAATCCTTGTAATTTCCGAGTATAAAAACGCCCTGTATTCAGTTTTAGTGACAAGTTTCGATTGAGAATTCGATCCTGTGACACTTGGTAATCAGAGCTGTTCTCACTCGACAACTCTCGGCTAAGCAGCGGTCGCTGAAAAAATCGCCTCAAAAAACCGCCGGGGGCGACCAATTCGACGCCGATTTTTGGTAAGCACCAGTTCCGCGTTTTTCAAATTAACTCCCTCGCGTTGTTTCTGAACAGGATGGGTTCGACGGCGACCAACGACGTTACGCAGCAGTTCTTCGCGCAAATCGCCAAGATGGAAGCGGAGATGCGAGCGACTACCGAACGATCGCGATTGAAGAACGAGCAACTGCAAAATGAACTGCAGTGCATTACGCAGCTCCTCTTGTCCATGAACATTCCTGCTTCGGCGACTTCGCAGCAGTCGCAGCGTCAGTTTGAGGTTCCGAAACTTCGCTCACCGGAATCGTTCGACCCCAGCAACAGGAAATCCGACGTCAGGCGATGGCTCGCAACGATCGAAATATATTTTGCGGCGATCGGATGGTCGACGACGGAGTACGACGGCGAAAAAAATCGTCTCGCAACAACGTTGATGCGCGGTCCAGCTCTTGAGTGGCTCGGAAGCAACAATAGGATTTTCCAGGGCGAAGCCACGTGGCAGCAGTTCCGGGCAGACCTGCTCAAACGTTTTGAGCCGATTAATTCCACTTATATTGCGCGCGAAAAATTACATCATCATCGGCAATACGGGAGTGTCGCGCAGTACACGCAGCAGATGGAAGAATTTTATAATCGCATTCTCGACATTACTGAGGGCGAAAAAATTCAGTCCTACATCGCGGGGCTGAAAACCGACATTCGCCGCCAGGTTGCAGCAGCGAATTGCAGCAGCTACAGCGAGATCGTATCGGCCGCGGAGCGTTTTGACTTGGTCAACGCCGGAACACGACGACCCCATGTCGTTGGATCACGACAAGGAGATCGCTCGGCTTCAACCACGTTTTCCGACCCCATGGAAGTCGACAAATTCGACGCGAAGTCACGTCCTGCAAAAAACAAAACGATTTGCGATTTTTGCGGCGGAAATGGACATCGAATTTCCGACTATTTTCACATGGAATCTGCACGTGCGGCATTCTGAGCTCGTAGGAGTGGCAAAACTAAAGACAAAAAGTCAAAAAACGGATCTCGCCAGTGATTGCGGATCGTGCTGGCGAGGAAAAGCAGATCCGAAAGCGCCAGCGCAATCTGGACCGAATTGAAATTGAAGGACAGCATTGGGCGCGAGATTTGGAGAATCAGGGGCGAAATTCCAAGCCCCTTGACCGAAATTTGACAGAGGGATTCGCCGAGGAAAAGAAAACCTCCGCGAAACCAGACTCGACCAAGACGGGAACTCTCCAATTAGACCCCGGAAACAAACAGAATTCGTTAAAGTTATCTTTCAAAGATGCTTTAATGAAGACTCGTGATTTTCGCGGGTCCGGAGCCATAAACAAATTCTGGGAAGAACTCCAGAGCAAGCAGACAATTAAAGAAGTGGTACCGGTGCCTACGGAGCTGGGGAAAAAATTAAGGAGTGTGGAAAGGAGCAGGCCTTTTCACGGCTTCAACGTCTTCTCCCGGAACCAGCCCAAGACGGCATGAGCGAAAGCATATGGTGGGCCCAATGAAGATAAGGTCCTAGAAGGGACCTGCTCTGATACCATATTAAAGTAGCTAGTTAGGTTTAGGGACCATGGCTAGGGTTGAGGGTACTAGCATGATTATCGAGAGAATTGAGCAAAGGAGAAAGGTGATCACTAAAGGGCCAAAGGCCCAAGTTATACAAAAGACAATATAGGAAGTGGTGCACCACAACCAAGAATAGATAACTACATTACAATGCTAAACAATTATATAAAATAGAAAGAGCATATTTTGACACGGATCGGTCAACATTTTCGGCACGATTGAGATTCGTAGTGTTGGATCTGATGCCGTTAATTACGTTCAAAATCTGCTCTCGAGACTCGGCTACCTTGAAGTCGCTCCAGTTCATGTCGTCTGATTCGCCAGCTGAATTTGTTTTTTAACAGGACGTAACAAACCTACCTAGATTCTGAATGGTGTTAAACACCAAATAACGTTAGGTATGGTGCCAATAAAAGTTCAGTTCGGTCGGCAAACTCGCTATTCATAACCTGTATGGTCGGCTCCTGGGCGGGTGTTTTGAGTCAGAGATAATTATCACGATCATGTAGTATAGTGTGCCGGACGTACTCTCAAAGAACATGTTCGGACAGATCCTACAGTTACTTTGCCATGCATTACTCAACGTTTGGTTCGGTTCATAAACGTTGTGTATTACAAAGGCAAGCGACATTGACTAACCGTCACAGCATAAGCACTAACCTTAATATTTCAGGACTCATTTATAGCATTGGTCACAATAAAGTTACGCTTGGAAAAGGTGTTTGAGCAGTGCAGCTTGTCAAGTACAATATCCATCAGCTGCATTATTCATGGCTCATCCCACAGTGTGGTAGACACCTCCTGCAGCCCAGTCGGAGCCATACTTCTGGGTGCAGGTTGTCGAGTTGTGGTTAGGCCCCAAGCAAGTTCTTCAGCGATAGTTCCCCTTTGGAGCATCCCTGCGCCTGTTGGAAGGGGGGCGGCCATGACCCCTACGAGTGAAGGTAGGAGCATCACACACTTCCTGAGGCACAGGGATTGTCTCGGACATGAGGGTGTTGATGGTGTGGGAGTATGTGCAATGGAGGTTAAATGTGGTGTAGTAGTCGCTCACATACTCCCACCGATTCTTGTTAGCGAGAGGGAAAAACGCCATGGCGTGTGCGCACAGAAACGCATACTCCTTCCAGTTGCCGCACTCACACGTGCCCTCTCCTCTGATGTGGACGTTGAAGCTTCGTGGGGTCGGAAAGGTCGTGCTGCCATTGTGTATCACCTCCGCTAGGTACTCGATATTGGAGACCTTCACTTCGTAGTTCTTTGCTCGCTCGCACTTCTCCTCGTACCGTTTCCTCCCCCACTCCGTGAAATAGTCGTCCCGGGCTCGCGCCTCTTCACGACGCTCATGAAAATTTTTGACGTTGTAGTCCCACATCGAATCTAGTAGATATGTAGGTGGCAGATGCCGGATGGATTTCACGGCCCCGTTGGTCGACTCCGCCATGTTGCTCGTGTAGGTGCCGAATCTCCTTGTTGGTGCCTCATAGCGAGCCCACTGCTTTTTGAACACCCATATTCTATTACTTTGTGTAGTGTAGTCACCTCGTAAGCCTGTACGGACCCACACACCATCCTCTCCGTCCTCCAACGAGTCTTCTTCGACGACCGTCGACTCGTCCTCTACCACGCTATGCCTCTGATTAGTATTGTGCCCAATCGACAGGCCCGGATCAACAGCGGGAGGTGGAGGGTCGCGGGTTGGTACCGCAGCCGGTGGTATGACTCCGGGAACCAAGGCTCTCAGCACGATGTTGTCAAAGTTGAAGCACGTGGCTGTTCCACGCCATCCACTAGGCACGACGATCGGTGAAGTTCTTTGAAGTGGATGCGGCGCCCGTTGTGATGTTGATGGTGCTCTTGCTTTAGAAGTGGGGCCTACAAGATGTACACCGCAAACATGTGGAGCTTGTTTGGTTTGCACGCTACCGCTGACCAAGGAATCAAGTGACGAGAGGTTATATAGGCACTAAATACAATTGTTAATGTTGATGCAATTGCGAGGTATGCACAGCTTTTATAAGACGCGAGAATGATAATGAACGTTGCGTGCATAACATGGTAACCTTGATCAGACAATCACATTGACATACCATGCTGCCAACGAACCTGTGTCTGCAGATGGGTCAGGCGCAGCGGAGGGTGACGGTGCTGCGGATGGTCCTGTGGCTGCAGATGGGCGAGGCGCAGCGGATGGCCCTTGCGCTTCAGATGGCACTGGCGCTGCGGATGATGTTGGCGCTGCGGATGATGATGGTTCAGCGGATGATGCTGGTGCTGCGGATGGGCAGGGCACATAGGAGGGTCCTGTGGATGTGGATGGGCGAGGCGCAGTGGGTGGCTCTGGCGCTGCAGATGGTACTGGCGCTGCGGATGATGGTGGTGATGCAGATGGGCGGGGCAAAGAGGAGGGTCCTGTGGATGAACATGGGCGAGGCGATGCGGGTGGCCCTGGCGCTGCAGATGGTTTTGGCGCTGCGGATGATGCTGGTGCTGCGGATGGGCGGGGCTCAGAAGAGGGTGATGATGCTGCGGATGGGCGAGGCGCTGCGGATGGTCCTGGCGTTGGGGATGGGCAGGGCGCATAGGAATGGGTAGGTGGGTCACCTGGCCACATTCACTCGTCAGCCTGGGTCGAGCCTATACACCCTCACTACCGTGTCTCCTCCTATTGCTGCGTCTGGTCAGGTAGCTGCGTCGGGTCAGGTGTTTGCTGCAGCGTCCCGGTCTGGTCCTGAGTCTGCCCCCTGCTCGTGTCGCCTCCTGTCTCACCAGACTCTCCTCTGGCACCACCGCCTTGGTCACCCCTCTAAGTCTCATCTCCGAGGCATGGCCTCCCGTGTCCTTGTCACTGGTCTTCCCCGGTCTCTCCCTCCCCTCCCCCCGGGGCCTGCCCCTACCTGCGCTCCTTGCGTCGAGGGGCGGCAGCGCGCCGCCCCTCACTCCTCCGAGTTTCCTCCCACGGAGGCTCCCTTGCAGACTCTTCACATGGACTTGTGGGGCCCAGCCCGCGTCCGTGGACAGGGTCACGAGCGCTACTTTCTGCTGGTCGTTGACGACTACTCGCGGGACACCACAGTCTTCCCCTTGCGCCGCAAGGGTGAGGTCACTAAGGTGCTGATCGACTGGATCCGCGTTGCCCGTCGTCAGCTCAGCGAGAGTTTCGGCTCGGATCTCGTGTTCTACGTCTGCACTCTGTCAGAGGTGGAGAGTTTTCCTCCAACCTTCCGCAGGCCTCCTGTCGTGCGGAGGGCATCCGCCAGACGTTCACGCTTCTGGCCTCTCCACAGCAAAATGGGATTGCTGAGCGCCGCATTGGCATGGTCATGGACGTCGCTCGTACGTCCATGATCCATGCGGCTGCTCCCCATTTTCTGTGGCCGTTCGCGGTTCAGTACGCGGCGCATCAGATCAACCTCCAGCCCCAGGTCTCCGTGCCGGAGACCACACCGACTCTGCGGTGGACGGGGAAGGTTGGCGATGCGTCTGCGTTCCGTGTCTGCAGACAAGCTCTCCTCCCGTGCTATTCCCTGCGTCTTCCTTGGCTTCCCCCCTGACGCGCCTGGCTGGCAGTTTTACCACCCCACCTCGCGCCGTGTTTTGTCCTCTCAGGAAGTCACGTTTGACGAGTCGGTTCCTTACTACCGTCTCTTCCCCAACCGCACTGCCCCCCTCCCCCCCCCGCCGCTCTTCCTCGCACCAGGTCCTCCCCTGGTAGACCCCCTCCCCCCTCAGGGTTCTGCACCCTCAGGTGTGTCTCAGGTAGACGCAGTCGAGCCTGTCAAGGTAGGTGTTGACTCTAGTGCTGCTAGGGGTGCTGAGCCTGCGGGTGTCGGGTCTGGGGGTGCTGAGCGTGAGCGTGCGGAGCCTGGGGGTGCTGAGTTTGGGGGTGCTGAGTCTTGGGGTGCTGAGCTTGGGGTTGCTGAGTCTGGGGGTGCTGAGCCTGAGGGTGCTGAGCCTGGGGGTGCTGAGCCTGCGCGTGTGGAGTCTGGAGGTGCTGCGCCTAGAGGTCCTTCGGGTGCTTCATCCCGGCAGGAGCCTCTCTCTCCACAGCAGTTGCGCGAGTGGTTTGCTCGGCGCTAGAGCCGTGCTACTTGAGCTGGTGGTGCTACGGGCGCTGGAGGTCCTGCTGCTGCTGGAGCTGCTGGGGATTCTGGAGCCACTGGACCCGGAGGTGCTCGCACTGGAGGTACTGGAGCTGCTGGGCCTGGTGGTGTTGCTGGGGCTGGAGCTGCTGGAGGTGCTGGAGCAAGCGCTGCTGGAGGCACTGGAGCTGGCCCTACTGGAGCTGCTAGGCCTTCTGGTGGTCCTGCTGGAGCTGGACCTGCTGGAGGTGCTGGCATTGGAGGTGCTGCTGGAGCCGGTGCTCCTGGGGGTGCTGGAGTTGGCGCTACTGGAGCTGCCGGAGGTGCTGCTGGAGCTGGTGGTGCTGCTGGAGTTTTAGCTGACGCTGGGGGTGCTGGTGCTGTCCCTGCTGGTTCTGGAGGCGCTGCGCGGCCGCGGCCGTACTTCGTTCTGCTCCTTCAGCAGGTTCTTGGCCTCCTGCCTTCTACTGGTCCTGCTCCTTCCTTAGAGTGTCCACCGCCTGTCCAGTCGCAGTCACAGTTACAGCCCGCCTCCCCACTGCCTGCTCCTTCTCCTTACATTGGTCTGACGGACGTCTTACGGAGCGTTGTGAGCCTGACTCTCGTCCCGCGTCGCCTGTTCGTGCTGCTCGCACTGGTCGTCGTGGTTCACGTCAGCGTCCTCCTCCTGTCCCTGGCACGCACTAGATGGCTGTGCGTCCGTCCGCTGCTCCGCAGCGTGTCCCTCTGCCGTCTCCTCCTGCGTCCTCTCTTCCTGCCCTTGCTGACCCGGCGTCTCACTCCCTCCGTGCTGCTAGTCCTACTGTCACGCGTCTCCTGGTCACTGTTGTCACTGACCCTTCCTTTGAGTCCACTGCTGCGTCTGCCTTTATTGCTGAGCTTTTGACTTTGCTGCTCACTGTCATCTAGACTGGGCCCCGAGTCTTGTTGCTAAGTCTGAGTCTGTCTGTCCTCCGTCCGTCGGGTGTGAGTGTGCTCTTGGTACGGTCCTCCTTGAGGACAGGCAGGAGGACTTTGAGTGCTTTGCAGCCGTTGTACCTAATCTCGTGTCCATGCTGATTGCACCTGAGGGAGACCCGGATGCACCAGACATCCCGACCCCGCGCTCTTACGCAGGTGCGATAGAGGGTCCCTACTCCTCTCAGTGGCAGTCAGCCATGGACGCAGAGATGGCATCTTGGAAGTCCACATGCACCTACCTCGATGAGGTTCCCCCTCCTGGGGCGAACATCGTCAGTGGCATGTGGATTTTCAGGGTGAAGCGACCGCCGGGTTCTCCGCCTGTCTTCAAGGCGCGTTACGCTGCTCGAGGCTTCTTCCAGACCTTCTCTTCGACCCCGAAGATGACCACTCTTCGGGTTCTACTACACGTCGCTGCTCAGCGTGACTACGCACTTCACTCTCTTGACTTCAGCACAGCTTTCCTATAGGGCAGCCTGCACGAGGAGATCTGGCTGTGCCGCCCACCTGGCTTCACTGGGTCGTTTCCTGCAGGTACCCAGTGGAGCCTCCGGCGGCCAGTCTACGGTTTCCGCCAGGCGCCTCGTGAGTGGCACAACACGCTGAGGACTACGCTTGCGGCCCTTGGGTTTTTTCCTTCTACTGCTGACCCGTCGCTGTTTCTGCGCACCGACACTTCGCTGCCGCCGTTCTACATCCTCGTGTACGTTGACGACTTGGTCTTTGCGACTGCTGACACTGAGGGACTCGCCCACGTGATGTCGGAGCTGCAGAAGAGACACACGTGCACAGACCTGGGTGAGCTGCGCAGCTATCTTGGCTTGCAGATCATTCGGGACAGAGCACGGCACACCATTACCTTGACTCAGTCACACATGGTGCAGCAGGTCCTTCAGCGCTTTGACTTCACGTACTCCTCGCCTCAGGCCATTCCTCTGTCTACTCGCCACTCGCTCTCACCTCTGCCTTCGGATGAGTCCGTAGAGCCGAGTGGCCCGTACCCAGAGCTTGTTGGCTGCCTCATGTACCTGATGACCTGCACTCGACCTGACTTGGCATACCCTCTTAGCATCTTGGCGCGCTATGTTGCTCCTGGGAGACACCGACCAGAGCATATGGCTGCAGCTAAGAGGGTGTTGCGCTACCTGTGCAGTACGTCGGGCATGGGGCTAGTGCTTGGAAGACGGGCTCGAGTTGTCCTCACTAGTCACGCAGACGCTTCTTGGGTTGACGACTTGGCTATCCAACGGTCATCAAAGGGTTACACCTTCAGCCTTGGTTCCGGCTCTATTTCGTAGCGGTCTACTCGCTCGTCCTCTGTTCTCAGCTCCAGTTATGAGGCTGAGATCTACGCTGGGGCCATGGCTGCACAGGAGTTACGCTGGCTCACCTACCTGCTGACCGACTTGGGAGAGCCGCCTCGTTCTCCTCCAGTTCTGTACGTTGACAACAAGGCCATGCTGGCCTTGTGTCAGGAGCACACACTGGAGCACCGAACGAAGCACATTGCTCTGCGCTACTTCCTTGCTTGAGAGTTGCAGCAGCGTGGCCAGCTTTGTCTTGCTTACGTGGCCTCTCGGGCCAACACTGCTGATATCTTCACCAAGGCACTTCAGCCTTGTGATCATCAGCGTTTCTGTACTATGCTTGGTCTTGTGCTTGCAGGGCCTCACTTACTCACCTCTTGACTTTGCTTGTACTGTGATCTATATATACCTGCACCTGCTTGCTTGCCCTTGTTAGGTTGAGATCATATATATACCTGCACCTGCTTGCTTGCCCTTGTTAGGTTGAGATCACAGTCTTGCTTGTTCACCTTGATTTATAATTCTGCATGTGAACTGGCCTTGTGGCCTTGAACTTGAGCTCGGGATGTGTGGTGACGTTGTGATCCACCCTCAGCTTGACCTGGTCTTGTTCTCTTGCTTGTCCCCCACTTTGCCTATGGGGATGTGTCAAAACCATATTGTAGGCTGTAGTGGGGTTGACAATATGGGGTACAACTCTTTTAGGTTTAGGTATTTGTACCCACGGGCTTCCTAGTTCATTCATTCCTCGTACTATTTTCACACCAAACTTATACTATGAATAAATCAACGTTACTACTGTATGTACTTCTTTACTCACACATGCACATAATTTTAATTATGCTATATCTAAGTGCAATCCCATCACAACCTACTAAATGAATTATGGACGTATAAAGGTCTGGGGGTGCAAAAATTGCCACTATCTCTAGTGGAGTGTCCATATTTTAGTAATACCATTAATGGTTTGGATGGATGATACTCTGGCAAGGGTTTCTGTTCTTTTTAGTATTATGAATATGTGTGTGGGATTTATGGATTAGATTTTTGTGTGAAGCAACCTAAATACGTTAACCATTAAGAAACACCTGGCTATTTACAGATTTACTTAAAAACATTCCACCTACACTAGTACTAGAAATCTGTATCACATGTCATTGTAGCAGGATGATTGACTGGTTTTAAAACTAGTGTGATATAACCACAAATTTTAGCTGTGCTACATCGTATTGCAAT